GTTGGAGCACCTCAAAATGGGGTTGGAGCACGTCAAACTAGGGTTGGAACACCTCAAAGCGGGGTTGGAGCACCTCAAACCGGGGTTGGAGCACCTCAAACCACCCCAGAGAGGGGTTGGAGCCCCTCAAAGTGGGGTTGGAGCCCCTCCAACCATTCCTAAGTTGGGCTGGAGCACCCCAAAGAGGTTCTGGAGCACCTCAACTTTGGGCTGGAGCACCTCAAACCACCCCAAAGTTGGGCTGGAGCATCTCAAATCACCCCAAAGGTGAGCTGGAACACCTCAAAGAGGTTCTGGAGCACCTCAAACCACCCCACAGTTGGGCTGGAGCACCTCAAACCACCCTAAAGTTGGTCTGGAGCACCCTAAAGTGGGGCTGGAGCACCTCAAAGAGCTTCTGGAGACCTCAAACTACCCCTAAGTTGGGCTGGAGCACCCCAAAGAGGTTCTGGAGCACCTCAACTTTGGGCTGGAGCACCACAAACCACCCTGAAGTTGGGCTGCAGCACCCCAACTTTGGGCTGGAACACCGCAGACCACCCCAAAGTTGGATTGGAGCACCTCAAAGAGGTTCTAGAGCGCCTCAAACCACCCTAAAGTTGGGCTGGAGCACCTCAAAGAGGTTCTGGAGCACCTCAAACCACCCTAAAGTTGGGCTGGAGGCACCTCAAAGAGGTTCTAGACACCTCAAACCACCCTAAAGTTGGGCTGGAGGCACCTCAAAGAGGTTCTAGACACCTCAAACCACCCTAAAGTTGGGCTGGAGGCACCTCAAAGAGGTTCTAGACACCTCAAACCACCCTAAAGTTGGGCTGGAGGCACCTCAAAGAGGTTCTAGACACCTCAAACCACCCTAAAGTTGGGCTGGAGGCACCTCAAAGAGGTTCTAGACACCTCAAACCACCCTAAAGTTGGGCTGGAGGCACCTCAAAGAGGTTCTAGACACCTCAAACCACCCTAAAGTTGGGCTGGAGGCACCTCAAAGAGGTTCTAGACACCTCAAACCACCCTAAAGTTGGGCTGGAGGCACCTCAAAGAGGTTCTAGACACCTCAAACCACCCTAAAGTTGGGCTGGAGGCACCTCAAAGAGGTTCTAGACACCTCAAACCACCCTAAAGTTGGGCTGGAGGCACCTCAAAGAGGTTCTAGACACCTCAAACCACCCTAAAGTTGGGCTGGAGGCACCTCAAATTGGTTCTGGAGCGCCTCAAACCACCCCAAACTTGGGCTGGAGCACCTCAAAGAGGTTCTGGAGCACCTCAAACCACCCTAAAGTTGGGCTGGAGGCACCTCAAAGAGGTTCTAGACACCTCAAACCACCCCACAATTGGGCTGGAGGCACCTCAAAGAGGTTCTAGACACCTCAAACCACCCTAAAGTTGGGCTGGAGGCACCTCAAAGAGGTTCTGGAGCACCTCAAACCACCCCAAAGTTGGGCCGGAGCACCTCAAAAAACCTCAAAATTGGTCTGGAGCACCCCAAAGAGGTTCTTGAGCACCTCAAGGAAGGTCCCACGGACTCACCTGGCCACCGCCCCCGCCAGCACCTTCTCCGCCTGGTCCCCGATCACCTCCTGCCGCAGGTAGTAGAGCATCCGTACCCTCAGGAGAACCCTGGGAAACGGCGGGATGAGACGGTCAAAAAAAAAAAAAAATAAAATAAAACCCCGGGGAGAAGATCTCGAAGGTGGGACCTCCAAGAAGACCTCAACCCACTTGTTGCATTGATGCTTGAGGTGCTTCTTGTAGCTCTCGTCTTGGAAGAGGGTGTCGGGGTTGTATTTGCGGATCCACTCGGCTTTGTGGACATCAAAGGTACTTTGGGACTTCACCTTCTTCCCTTTCCGACCTCGAGGAACCGGGATGGAAAGACCTGGAGAAAAAAGGTGGAAGAAGGAGAAAAAAAAACAAAAAAAACGTCAAGGTGGGACCTCGAGAGGTCCCCGGTTGTCCCTAAGCTCCTGTAGACCCTCACCCGAGTGGTTTTGGAGCTCCTTGGCCTTGCCGTTCTCGGTGGGGCTGATGAGGTCCCAGATGAAGCCTTTGATGTTCTCGTCACCTCGGTAGTGAAGGAGACAGTAGACCAAGATGGCCCGGCAGATGGTCTCCACGTCTCGCTCCGAGAGGCGTCGCTTGAACCGCCCGTGGGACAGGATCTCCCGCCATCGGCCCCAGCTGGTGGTGGAGGACAAGGTCAAGTGGTTGGGGAGGTCTCTCCACCCTCCCAGCGTTCTTCTCCACCAAGGATCTCCTCACGCTCGCCACCAGAGAAGATCTGGACCTGATCTGCTCTCTCTCCCCCCCCAAGAACCATCTCGTGGTGGCCACCACAGAAGAGCTGGAACTGGTCCGCTCTTCTCCAAGCATCTGCTCGTGGTGGCCACCACAGAAGAGCAAGAGCTGGTCCGCTCTTCTCCAAGCATCTGCTCGTGGTGGCCAACACAGAAGAGCTGGAGCTGGTCCGCTCTTCTTCAAGCATCTGCTTGTGGTGGCCACCAGAGAACACCTAGATCTGGACCTGATCTGCTCCTTCCACCAAGGATCTCCTCAACCAAGGATCTCCTCATGGTTGCCCCCACAGAAGAGCAAGAGCTGGTCCGCTCTTCTCCAAGCATCTGCTCGTGGTGGCCACCACAGAACACCCGGAGCTTGTCCGCTCTTCTCCAAGAACCTCCTCGTGGTTGCCACCAGAGAAGACCTAGACCCAAGCCCGTCCTCACCCGTAAACCAGGAGGTGCTTCTCCACACGGAAGCAGTCGGTGCGACCGTAGGCGTGATGCAAGGCGTGGTGATGCCGGTCGTGACGTCGGGATCGAGGTCTCTCCTCATCCTCGCTCTCCAAGTCCGAGAACTCCACCAGGTCATCGTCCCGAAGAGTGCTGAAGTGTCGCGTCTGCTTCCGCACCCGCGGCGTGTCGATCACCAGGTTGTTCTGGATCACCAAGATGGAGAAGACCCATCGGACGCTGCCCCAAACCAGCCTCACCGTTGTCCCACCACCACCACCACCAACCTTGCTGTTCAGGAGATCCAGGTCTAGGTCGGCTTTCTTGGCCCACTTCTGCCAGAAGTTGGGATCATCCAAGGCGATGTCGGTACGGTTTTCGGAAGCCACGAAGCTCGCCTGCGATTGGTTGAAGGATCGGGAGATGTTCACGCCCACCTCTGAGGTAGAAGACGTCCGCCCGCCAACGGCGGGAAGAACGCGCGGAGGTACCTTGGCGAAGGTGGAACCCTTCCCCTCGCTCTCGATGGTGATGGTGGTGGTACGGCGCAACAGGATCTGGTCGATGTCCTCCTCGCAGAACTTGGAACCTTCATCGTCCTCTTCCATGATGGCCGCGTAGGCCCCTTTGCGCAGCAGGTCCTCGATCTCCTTTTTGGAAAATTGCTGGATCTGCCGGGAGGGTGGAGAAGCGGGGGGAAAGGTGGGGCGAGGTAGACAGCCGACACGGTGGAGCTCCATGCCCCACCCCAAACCACCACCCAGCCCCGTGTCCCTCAAGAGTAGGGTCGTCACAATGCAGTTCCCCTGGTAGAACCCATCCCCACGATCTTCACGCCATGGTAGAACCCATCCTCATGATCTATCTCCACGCCCCTGTTCCCCTGGTGGACCCCATCCTCATGATCTTCACGCCTCGTTTCCCTTGGTAGAACCCATCCCCATGATCTTCACGTTCTGGTAGAACCCATCCCCCCAATCTTCACGCCCCATTTCCCTTGGTGGACCCCATCCCCACGATCTTCACGCCGTGGTAGAACCCATCCCCACGATCTCCACGCCCCATTTCCCTTGGTAGAACCCATCCCCATGATCTTCACGCCTTGGGAGAACCCATCCCCACAATCTTCACGCCCCGTTTCCCTTGGTAGAACCCATCCCCACGATCTTCACACCCTGGTAGAACCCATCCTCATGATCTTCACACCATGGTAGAACCCATCCCCATGATCTTCACGCCCTGGCAGACCCCATCCCCACCATCTTCACGCCCCCGTTTCCCTTTGTAGACCCCACCTCCGAGGTCTTCACGCCCCGTTTCTCCTAGAAGACCTCTTACCCCCGCGATGTTGCCCTCTCGGCCGCTCATGGATTGCAGCACCGCCTTGTCGAGCCCCAACTTGAGGCTGGCCTTGTCGAACATCTCCCGTTCGTAGGAGTTCCTCGTGATGAGACGATAGACCTTCACCGCTTTGCTCTGCCCGATCCGGTGACACCTCGCTTGAGCCTAGAAGTAAACGACGAGCCGTCGAGTTCAAAACCGAAGAGGACCTCGCGGTCAAAACCACGACGGCGCGGTGGACGCCGACGATTTACCTGGAGATCGTTTTGGGGGTTCCAGTCGGAGTCGAAGATGATGCAGGTGTCGGCGGCGGTGAGGTTGATGCCCAAGCCACCGGCCCGCGTGCAGAGGAGAAAGACGAAACGATCCGAATCGGGTTTGCTGAAGCGATCGATGGCCGCTTGTCGTAGGTTGCCCCTCACCCTTCCGTCGATCCGTTCGTAGAGGTACCTACGACATCATCGAAAGGGCGGCCGGTGAGAGGCAGAGGTCCTCTCCGTCTTTCGGGGCCCCACCGGTCGTTCCATCGCTCACCTCTTCTGGATGAGGTAGTCCTCTAAGATGTCGAGGCAACGCACCATCTGGGAGAAGATGAGCACCTTGTGGCCACCGGCCTTCAGCTTGGGCAGCAGCTTGTCGATGAGCACCAGTTTGCCGGCCGAGCGGACCATGGCCTGGAGGTGGAAGTCGTGGGGCACGTGGTGGTGACAAGATTCCCGAAATTCCGCCAAAATCTTCTCCTCCGCGCCTGTCGGGTG